GCGGGCGTGTCGAGGTCGGTTAGATTGAAGGACACGACGAAGGATAACTCGGTCTACGTCCGCAGGAGTCTTCATTAGACACGCTATACTCCCGTCTACCGTAGCTATATCTCTGCGTTAGGACAGAATGAAAACACGTCACCGCAGGCGACCCCGTAATTTGCACAACCATCGAAGGAAAATGCAATGCTAACTGTGGCGCCCGAGAATTTCAGTGCAACGACCTATAATTCTGGGGTAATTGAATAACATTTGAATGGCATAGGCTGTCTCCTGCCATCCTGTGCACAAGTAAACTCTTGTAGTCCAGACACGTTTGGAGGAATGTAGAACATTTCCTTTCGAAACCTTTTCAAATCACATTGAATCTTATACAATCATTGGAAATTAATTCGATCTGTAATTCTAATGAAACATTATTGTTCTAGATGCGGCATTTGGTATTAACAATGAAAATAAAATTATAATTAAACTTGAAGTCGTTGTATACTGTGAAACAGACTGGGCGGATTTTTCTGAAAAAGATCTGGAATTCGATTTAAGGAGAAAACATCGATGGAGTTTCAAGTTTCTCTGCAAATTCAAGTAAAGTCCCAATTTCTCAGCGGCCGGAAGATGGAAATTTCGTTATTTACGCGAATTTTCAAGTAAAAATGAATATTCACTGCCCAATTCCCTTGAATTTTCAAGGAATTCCTTTAAAATTCTCAGAATTCCGGGAATTTTTAAGGAATCCTCTGAAAATTGAGAGGAATCTGGAATTCAAGGAGAGATTTCTCTGAATTTTCCTTATTTTTCATTACTTTTTCCTGGAATAATTGCCCTAAAATTTACAGTTCTCACAGATTTTTAAACGAAATTATGAACTTTCAGTTGTAATAATAATACCCCGAGACTTTCAAACTTATCGAATATTTCCCGACAGCTTCGTTATAAACAAATGAAGGTATCAAGTTTTATACAGACCAAAAATCCCGAGTGCGGAACACGCGGACAATTTTTGTCTCTTGTGCTTTGTTAACGAATTATTCTTCAACAAAGCAAAAATACAGCGCAAATAAGAAATTTATTGATTTTCAGACCATTCGAAAAGAAAATCAATGGAATATTTTTTTTCAATTACAAAATTTACTGAAATTGTAGTAGAAATTAAACATGATTATTACCGGGATTTGGCACAAAAAATTCAGACGAAATTGTTTAACAGTGTTCGTATTATATTGAAACAAAATATAGAAGAAAAGACCCCATATGGCCCCGAAAATCCCCATATGAACCCTAAAATTTTTTGCATAGTCTTAATTCACGAAATTATTATATAGAGAGATACCGTATGCACCCTCCTAATGATATGGTCCTGAGATATACAAAACAAGTTGAGGGATAATTGTGTTTCAGTTTAGTTCAATGCTGAGAATTTAATCTGCAACGATGCCACTGGTCCCTCGTCCCTCCAGCTCAATCCCTCTTCCATTCTCTCGCCACTCCCTCCCGCCTCATCCTCTGTTTTCTCCATTAAACGTGCAACCACCTAGCTACGTGATTGAATAATTAGCCAAGTGCTATTTACCAACTTTTTTCCTTCGTAGAATTTTTTTTTTAATTACGGTAAACTTAACAGCTCCTGCTGGAAGATTGAATCAGGTACTCAATTTATTTTTTCATTTTTTTCCGAGTTTGTAAGAATACTTTTCGCGTTTTCACAGCGAGCAATTTAAATGAAGCTGCAATCCACCTTCTGTAGGGAATACAGATTCTTTTACGCATGTAGAGATAAAACGACTTTTCAAGATAAAAATTTGCAATTCTTCACACTAGGGACAGAATAATACTTCTCCTCGTAAGGGGTATGTGGTGCATAGAAGAGATGAGTCCTTATACTAGGTCAATTTTATTATTGAGAATGCATAAATGCTCTGTGAGATCTGAATAACTACACTTAAAAATTTTCGTTCGAATTTTTCGGCCCAGATTCCGGAAATTTTTATCGCGTTTAACTTCCACTGAAATTTTAGGGAATCTCCCCATTGAAAAATCAAACATTCCGTTGAGTTTCTGTTCAAATGATTTGGAAATCAATAAAATACTTGATTTTTCAGTTCAATTATTCCGTGAAAATTAGAAAAAATCAGGAAAATTACAGGAAAAATTGAAAATTCATGTCATTTTGTTTCTCAATATTCATGTTCCAATGAAAATTCAATCAAGTTGTGAAATTTCCATCTGACTCTCACTGAAAAGTCATGAATTTCCGCGAATTATATTTAAAACTTGAAATTTCATGACTATTTTTTCCATAAATCCGATTCAATGTCACTCTCATGAGATTTACTATAATATCTTGCATGAAATTTTAAAAAATTTCTAACAGTGTAGGGTAGAAATGAATTGTTTCGGAAAAGTTAAATCGTTTTTGCCTCAAATCCATGTGAGGATTCCATTGTGTCCAATTTATTCCATTAAGAAAGTACAGCAGACTCTCATTTTAGTCGCTGCCGTCATAGTCGAATTTCCCCTCGATCACTTTTTTGCCAGCGTGAAGACTTCTACTCCCCCATTCCCTACCCCTCTCGATTCCTGAATGTAAATGCATCGATGTTTTCTTAGATGCGCTATTATTTCACCTTTGCAGGAGATAGTAAATATAAAACACTTCAAAAGTACATTTTTAAAAAACTGAGCGCATGATAGGGGTAAGGAACTATAGTCGCATTCAACGAATCGAATTCTCCTGCAGCCCCAGGCATGCGACTATAACGGGAGTGTACTGTACATATTCTCTCCGGAAACCGTTATCATGTTCGTGTAATACAGTAGACTCTCGTTATAGTCGCACTCACGGGGCTGTAGGGGCAGCCGATTCTGAGAATGGGGCTGTATTTCTCTTCCCCCACCAGGCGCTCACGGTAAGCCTAAATTCCGGGAATCGGGAGCGATAAGAAAATAAATTTTACTCCAATTATTTTTCTCTTCAATTTGCATTGAACATTTTTATTAAATATAAAAATTATTTTCATTAAACACTTTTATTAAATTAACAAAATGAATTGCGTTGAACACTTTTAGTAAATTAATGAAATGAATAGAAATATTAATAACATCGCATTGTTCAACACACTCCAAAAGTTATTCACTTCATTCAAATAAAAAGCAGGATTATGCACCACTGCAAAGATCCTCTCTTCATGACAGTCAAGAGTGAACTGAATTTCTCTCTCGCAAATTCATTTTTCCTAAATTTTATTTCCCGAATTTCTTAGAAATGCAAAACAAAGCCCATTCCGAGAAAACACAGGGGCATTTAAATCCACACCTCGGAGGTGGTACGGAGTGGGGGAAGCGTTCGAGCTCGAAAAAATCGATATGAGGAGAAATGCGACTATAACGAATGCGACTATAACGAGAGTCTACTGTAGTTCAAACCTTTACCTCGAAATTAAGTACTCCTAAAGATATAATCGGTCAAAAGATTATAGTATACATTTCGATACTAGGGCGCATGAAAATTTTTTTTTGTCATTCCGGTCGTAGGCAGAGATTCACAGAAACACTGCCTACGAACCTTTCTAACCTAGGGAGGTAAAATAAAGGACCCTTGCCCACGTGCAGAATTATCAGCCGAGCCGAAGGCGAGGTTGATAAGCACATCGGCAAGGGTCTCTTATTTTACCTTCCGTGGTTAGAACGCGATTTTTCTGTTCCGGCGTAGGAGCAAAGTCAGTCCTCCCACTTCGCGGGAGGGAAATGTCACTGCTCCCGCCGGAACAGAAATTCTTTCATGAGAGCAAGATTCTTTCATTTTTGTCTCTTCGTGAAGCTTCGCGTCAGTTCGTGAAGTTTCGCTTTGCTACAATGAATGCAATACCAGATGTACGCAACGATTGTAATTGTCACAAACATTCGAAAAATATTGGAATGGAATGATTATTTTACACGTTGTGTATGTTTCGGTGTGCGTTTATTGTGGCATAATCCTTTAAAGCCGCTCACGAACGTTGTGACAAAAAATAGGCTTCCTCATGGTTTCGAAATAGTACACTATGTCATCAGGCGATAAAAGTATTATCTACCGAATGTGACTTTACAATCCGAGCCGAAGGCGAGGATTATAATTACGTGATTCAGATAGTACTTCTATCACCGTATGACATACAATATATTTCATCACACTGTCCGTAAAATGTCGTCAAACTTGATGTCCGTCAAACGCCGACAGGCGATAAGCTTATCGCCGTCAGACGATAAAGTATTATCTGGCAAATGTGGCTTTATAATCCGAGCCGAAGGCGAGGATTATAATCACATTCGTCAGATAATACTTTCATCGCCGTGTGACATACAACATTTTATGTCATTGGGCCCGAAAACCGCGATCTAATCGAGTGAAGCAAGGTTAGAATTGCGGATTATCGGGCCTAATGACATAAATTAATACACACCTCGCCATGGAAAACATATCACCCTCCCCCACGTGCAAGATTGCCGATTGCTTCCGAGCCGAAGGCGCCTAGTTATAGATTAGATTAGATAACGAGTTTATTGTTTAGGAATTTAAACAAAATAATGGTAACATAGCAGTAAGACATAGTAAAAGGAGAATTATCGGTGCATAATTACATGAGATAAGCCTAGTAAGAAATAATTTTGAGTACAGTACAGCATGATAACAAAGTAGAAAAATAGAAAACAGTAGCCAAGACTGAACATTTCTATAGCCATCAAGAAATGATGGGAAAACAACTGGAGTAAAAATGAAAAAGGAGAACAGGGGGACGGTGATCTGTTTTCCAAGGCCCGGACATGTAATGTACTATTTCTTGTACTTGTAAACGAAAAAGTGACAATTCGGCCATTCGCTGTAACATTATTGTGAAAAATATTGTTTGACACATGTGAGACGGGACTTCCGTCTCACTCGTATCGAAATATAGAATTTTCACACCATGTTATGTATATGTTCGTCGTTTTTCAAAGGGAAAAATAAGCAACACGATTCCAGATATTTGTTCTTATCGATTATCTTCTCTTTTTATTCTCCAATTATCTCATTCTGCGAGGCACAATTGACCCCAAGTGATTCAACAGCAGTTGCTTGGGGGTAAAGAGCAGGTAAAAATGTTCGGAATTGCTTTAAAAAGTTTGTCATAATGGTGATAAAATGGTTACGACTGAATTTCTCCTCTTTACTGGTTGAATCGTGGGTACCTGGAGGTATACATCATCTCTGAATATAACAGTTTATTATCGAACTATGTGTGCAAGTTCTGATAATTTTATAGTATAAAAAATGGAGTTTATTCCTCGGCGTCTTCGGTATCCATTATACTCTTGAAGCAGAATGGCTGGAACATGTATCCTTGGCCCATGTAAAACTTGCTCATGAATTCGACCCTGAAATTTATCATAAAGGGAAATGATAATCATAATTTTACTTGAAGTCGAAAACTGTTAGAGTAAAAGAATGGGCGGTTATTTTTAGAGATCATTTCTTCTCATCAAATGAATAATTTATACGTCAGCAGATTGCTGTCCATTAAAGGGAAATAGACTGTGATTCTGCAAAAGTGATATTATGAATAATATAAAAGGAGACGAGTCCAAAACAAATCTGCACGCTATTCGGTATACATCTCCACAATAAAGGACTTCAGAAAAAATCATCAAATGACATCGTCTGTAAGAATTTCGCAGATTACAAAGAATTTTCAGTGATATCCTTCTCAAAACCCGTAAATTTCGCACATATTTGACAAGAGAATCCATATGAGAATCATAATCAAACATGACATTTGAGTTTATTATACATTAATGTGAAACACGTTTCAACTTTTGGGCAAAATTTCCAACGACTTCTTCCGTACTTCACGACTTTTTTCATGTGAAACATATATTAATAATATTTTTAAAGACCAGACATCCACAGAATGATTCTATATTGAATTCATATTTTTTAATTCCGCAACTGAAAAAAACAACTGAATGAAAACTGAATATCTTCGTAATGACGAAAATCAGAGAAATTCAATAAAAGTCTTATTTTATGAATAGTTTCATGAATATTAAATATTAAGTCTTTTATCGAAATTAAAGTTTAAAGAATATTCATACAATAATCGCCATGATTTTTGTCTTTACTCATCTCCTATTGTCCATAAATTTTCATAAGAGTGATACATATCATAGAAAATAATTTGAAATCTAACAACTTACCAATGAAGTCGAAGAGTATGCAGGAAGGCAGATAATCCCTCCATCATAACAAGAATGGCAATCGTGAAGAATGACCACGCGCCAAAGGAAACGAACAACACAACAGACCTCACCCACTCATCTTTTTCTGCTCCCAATCCCGCCGACATTACTCTACCCCAGAGTACTTCAGATAGTTGAGCATGGGCTAATGAGAGCGCCCAGAGTCGCAGATACGAGGCGGTATGGGACACCGTCGAGAGGACATACTCGATAGTGTGAATTGCCTGGTGAATCATTACTTCTCCGAAGCTATCCTCTTCATGTTCATCGGAATGACCTGATCCACCAGCACCAGCTGCACCACCATTCGAAGAATTGACAATTATGTCGTTTTGGAGTTCGATGTCTTGGGAAGGAACACCATTGCCCTGATGAGAATTATTCAGCCATTAGATGAAAGAAAAGACGAGTTATTTGGAAAAAAAACTGACACTTAAGCAACAGTTTTGGAGATGTTGAATGAAGCGGTTCTCATAGAAAATTTAATATCTTCGAAAGTACTCATTCATTTTCACATAAGAGTTACAATTCTACAAAATGTCAATTTTGTATTTCACTTCTTTGAAAGCCATCGTTTTTTGATAAACTCGGTGTGTCACAAAAGTTAAGAATGCCAATTATAATCAAACTTTTTCTATTTCCCTAAGGATATTGTCACATCATTCGATCGATATTATCAGGAGGAATATGTTAGGGTAAAAATCTCAAATTCCACGGAGAGAAAAGTTCAATAAAAGTTATGGAACTCACAATTCGCTCACTGATTACGGAATCGACTCAGAAAATTTAAGTGACGGTATCATAATTGTTCTCAGAAGATTCAAATAAAAATTACGGAACGCTCTGGAAAAATTCCGTGACAGTTCCGTAAAGTTTCTTACAACCACATTTCGCTCCGGAATTACGGAAAAGATATGTAATTGTTATTGAATATTTCTCTTCGTGTAATCAATAGTTCCTACGCCTACGACAATCCTGTGTACATGAAAGGGTCCGCGTGACACCTTGATTGAATTTAATGTTTTTGGGGTCGCTGATTCCGAATTTCTTAGTTACCAGTTCGAAAAATTGTCGCTTTAATTGTTATCAACAATTTTGATTGTTTAAAACGCTGTAGCTTTTAAACTATTCTGGATAGGTGAAAATTTCCAAATTATGAAATATTTCTACAATTGTTTAGAATAACTTTTGTCATTTACATAATTTCGATAAATCAAAAAGAGATACGCGATGGGACTGTTGCGCAGTCTAGAACACGTGGGACGTGCGCTTGGTGGTGAGAATACTCTACGTTGGAGGTGCTATTAAATTAATACTTACTCTTCGTTTTTTCTTGTTTGATAGCTTTTGGCTGAACAAGAACCACAAAGGTTTTCCAAATAGCAGAACTGGAACACAAGCGAGAGCTCCAAGAAGAAGAACTTTTTGGAGAACGGCTTGGCCCGCGAACATGAATTCTGAACAGCCTTCTGGCACTCTTGATTCACCTTGCAATATCATGTTGATCAAGGTGATTAAAACTGAAGGAGCGCACGTTGGCGTGTAGGCAAAATCTAAAAGGAGAAAAAATAGTTAAAATCAAGCAGTGAATTTATGAAAGCAGTCGAATAAAACCACGCATAAAGGAAACCTATCGAAAATTTCTGTATATTGCTATAAGAATCATTTCATACAGGAAAGGCTAAAGGAATCTAGAATTTGCTATAAAAATTCGGCCTTTGTAAACCGCTGTAGGATATAGAAATTAAAACACGAATGCATGAGGAATGCATGAAATGCATTGTATATGCCTGTTGTTGTAATGGATAAATTGTTGAAATTATCCAAATTTATTGGCCATTTCTTTAACCCGTGGGAGGATAGCATTCGCCTTCGGCATGAAGACTTTTACGCAATTATATAGAAATATACTATTCCGCCCTTGGTGCACAATATACAATTTCGCTGCGTGGGAGGTGTGTAGCGCTCGCCAAAGGCGAGTGCCAAGGATCAAAGAACACTTTTCCCACAGGTGTCGAACGTTATTTTTCATCACAACGTGTGAAAGTAGGATTTTGCGCACGTGGAGCGTGCGTAAAATTTCACTTTCGGAACAAGTGCTGAAAAAGTAAGTTTTGGCTTGTCTTAATATTATTTATAGTCAGGATAATGCAGCAATTGAAAAATGGTCAAAACAATTAAAATGCAATTGACACTTACCTTTCGATCTAGCATCATACAGAACCCACTTAATGAGCATCAACGCAGCCAGATAAGCGAACAGCAAAACAAGGAACAACAATTGTGGTAAGAATTCGAAGAATAGGCGAGAGTACTGTTTGAAATGCCTGGAGAAGAGAAGAGCAGAAGAAAAATTATCAATTACTATTTTCTCATCATTTTTCTTACAAAATCGAATGACTGTACTTACACAATATTGATAACGCTGACGCACACTCCGAATATCATATGAACAACCCCGAAGATGATTGATAATTTCATCTTGTAAGAATTCAAAAATATAATTTTATTTTCGGCTAGTGCCCAAACTGGGTCCATACCAAGTGGATAAGGCACTTGTGAGTAGATCTTGTCTGATTTAGGGTCTAGTGTGAGCTTCATGGAGTCGTGGATTGTGGAAAAGTTGTAAGTTACGTGCCAACTGGATCCAAAAACGTTGGCCGACTTTGAGAATATATCGTTGTAGATAATTCCGGTGTATATGGAGAAAAGCCCCATGAGAAGGATGATGTATCGGCCACCAAAGAATATGTTCCAAATTTCGTTGTCTGTTTTTTTTGCCAGCAATTTTTTCTCCCAGCCGACCATCCATCCACCGAATAAAGCCAAGATTATTCCTAATGAGGGAAGAAAATAAGTGAATAAAAATCTGGAGAGAAAATAATTATTGACAACCGACGGCGGTGGCTGTGTGGTTAGAGTGTAGGATTGGCATGCGGAAGACCCGGGTTCGATTCCCGGCTGGGGTGGCCAAAATTTGTAACACTCTAAATCTCACGGTTTCATTGTCGAGCGGGACTTTCGCAAGAGATGACTGTACCTGGGCAGGTTTTTCCCTCAAATGAGGTGTTCCCTTGTCCTTCGGCGAGTGCGGTACAGGGGGTTGGTGGGTGGGAAGGGAACAAATCGTAAAGAGCCGAAAGGGTATACGAGATGAAAAAAATTTTTTAATTATTGACATAGGAGAATGCAGCATCCATCCACCGAATAAACTCAAGATTATTCCTAATGAGTGAAGAAAATAACTGAATAAAAATCTGGCGAGAAAATAATTGTTGACATAGGAGAATGCACATTTTCAGAACTTCGTATCAAATATTCCAGATTTTTACATTGCACATGATTTGGAAATTTTGCAAACATGAAATAGCTTGAAATAAAACCTAAAGTATTTTCTGGGAAATTGTATAGGAATCCTATTGCAATTATATTTTTTTTCTTCCTGATTTCTATCGAAAATGATATAACTGGCTGATACAATTTATCAGTTTAGATATTCCATAGAAAAGAGTCAACAGATCTCGATTTTTTCAAGTGTTTTTCCTGTATTTCGTAACATAAAACAAGCTAAAATATATAGGGAAACATTTAGAACATTTATGCCTAAAAATTTTCAGTAGTCATACCACGAATGCTCTACAATCATCGGTTATTTTCCGATACCTTTATTGTATTGGCAAGATTACGCCACATATTTTTGCAAATTGACTTTTGAAAATCAATTTTCTGCAAAAATTGTTCGAAAAAGTTGCGAAACTATCAATTGAATTCTTTTCAGTTGCAGTAGAAATTGAATACATTTCCCACATGTTTCCAATTTTTCGTAATGTATCAACTAGAAGAACATAGACAAAAATATTGAACGCATATTATTACGAGTGCCCTTGCGTTGGAAAGGAAATCCATCAAATCAAATTAAAAATGATGAGCCGAGTATACGTTTTGACCTTAAATGTGAAAGTTCTAATCGGGACAAAAAACTGTATTTTGATTTCTCGGTGAAAAAATACATTATTGCATCAGATATATTTACATTGAATAAAATTCATCACCTCAAACACATGTTTCTACACATGTTTAAAGGTGTTTTCAACACCAATATAAAATCTCTTCCATCATTATCTCATTGGGAGCATTCAACATTTACGTCACGCTCATGTTGTCAAAAATATAATTCAATAATAGTCGACACAGCGCGCATCAAAATCACGTACAATGTAACAACAAGTGTAAAGTTGAATGTCGAAGCTTGTATCAGTGAATCTAGAAACGTGCAAGCATTCAAAACATCCAAGTTTGTAAATTTTATTCATCTCGAAATACTTTATGTCAACTCACCATGACCCGCATCACCAAACATAATCCCAAAGAGAAACGGAAATGTAACTATAGTGTACAGAGCCGGATTAGCCTCGCGGTATGATGCTACACCGTATGCATCAATCAAATTTTGAAATCCTTTGGTAAACTTGTTGGTTCTGTTGAAGGTTGGCGGATCCTCGTCAGTATGAATAACGTTCAGGAATGAGGGTATGGAGCTACCACATTGTCTCTAAAATTACGAACATGTGAAATATTAAATACAAACAGTTCTACAATAATGATAAAACTTTCAAAGAATTGTTTAATAAATTTATTTGGAGATCATGGGATATTTGAGAAAGAAACCAGATTCTTTCATTAAATTGTCAAAGATTCCTGTGTGAACAAATTTAATAGGAATGCATGGTGCTTTCAAGAAATTTTATACATTTCTGTCTAAACTTTTACTTTCATACATTGCATTTTTTTTAACTCTACCGTACGATCCATTAATAAACTCTGGTAGAGCAAATCACTATATTTTGATTGTTAATATGGATTTTTTTTACGGCTTTTTGAGTCTCCTTTTCGGATCTCCTTTCGGCATCCTATCCAACCCTATGCATGCGATTGTGAATTCTACACTGTACCCCATTCGCACTCCTATAGAACATATAAGGAGTAGTAGGGGAAACCACAGGAAACCCATGCCGGTACAGGCGGTTGCTCTATTAGCAACCTCCCGCTCGCCGGAGTCTTCCGTTGAAAAATTCAGTCCCATGGAGAATCGAACTCACAACCTTTCGCACACTAGACTTGCGTTTAGCCCACTCGGCCACCGACGTCGGATTTTTAATATGAATTGAAGTCTTGGAAAAGGCGTAGTAAAAATTTGGGCTTAAGAATTTTTCTTTAAAATCTGATTTTTTTTTTATTGGATGGCAAAAAATCAAGAAATTTCTTGACATCTAACAGAAAATGGTGGATCGTTTTGCAAACAAGTTCCATTATTGCTTTACAAGACGGCAACGTTTGAAAACCTATTAATATTTTGCAAAATGTAATTCAAGTAATACTTAGTGGATGTGACTTTTTTCAAAATTTTCTCATGCAATTTAGTTGAAAAATTCGAAAACTGAAAATACCCATTTCTATAGTGCAGCCCGTCGAAGGGGTAGATCTACTTTAATCAAAGAAGTTGTTTAGGTCTCCAATATCCCTTGATCCTCAAGTAATTTTATCATTATTGAGATGCATGTGAACATCAATTGTTCAATAAATCCTGAAAAAGGTAATCCGCTCGTAAATTAATCTCTACTTACAGATCCCTCTGTAAGACAATTCTGCACAACTCCAAGATCAGACATAGGCACCCAGCACTCCCCGATAAGGCACTTCTTGGACACATCCATATTGAACAGATTCATCGTATGATAGATCGCCTTCATCTTTCGAACCATAATACTCCAATTTGGAATCTCCTTGGCGACATTGTGAAGCACTCGCTGTCTGTGATCCTGAGTCTCATTGAGAACCTCAAAGAAACAAAGAACAAAGAAAAATTGGAAAAACAATTCTCTCCGATTTGCCGTCTAGCATTAACTTTTCTCTTTGAATACCAAATTGAGATCCTCAAGACGAGTACGAACACCCTTAACCATTTCCAGTCTCTCGGCGTGGCTATTAGGACAGGGATAAAGAGATGCATGGAAACCAGTGCAGACTTTCTTAATCCTGCTCTTCAATTGTTCACCTTGAAAGAACGCGACGAATACCGTTTTGTATATCTCGTTTCCCTAAAATAATGATAATTATTAATCCAGTTAATTGGGGAAGAATAACTGAGATCAAAGAGGAGAAACTCATGAATTGCAAATGGAGACTTATGGGGAGAAACATTTGCAATTCAGAAATAGTTTTAATTTTACGGCCTTCGAGTCCCTTTTTGGGTCCCATTCGGCACTCTATCCAACCCTATGCATGCGGTTGTGGGTTCTACATTGTACCGCATTCGCACTCCTATAACATAACTCCTAGAACATAGGAGTAGCATAGGAAACCACAGGAAACCCATGCCGGTACACGCGATTACTCTATTAGCAACCTCCTGCTCGCCGAAGCCGCAGGTTCGTCGGCCTCACCGTCGTTGGTTAATAGTTAATTGAAAAACATCTTTTCTTGATATTAGTATGTGCGCAGAGAATAAGAAAACCCAAACTAAATCAAGGCGCGATGGAATTTTTTTGTGAAAAAAAATTTTCATTGCATTTTCTTGAATTGAGGTTTGCGGAACTCTTTTTAGCCGAATAGGAGTGCAGTAGACTCTGTTGAGCTCTCACTCGGTCAGAGACACTACCGCATCTCCTGATCAGTTGTTGGGGTGTATATCTCTAATTTTAAGGGATTCAATTTCACACTATAATTGATGCAGATAATTTTAGGAAACAAGCTTGTCAATTTCCAAACTTCGAGGGTTTCATTATAAGAACCCAGGGTTCTTGCTTTCACTACCATAGTGTTTTAATTTGCGTAACACGGTTGCTGGATTTGAGTAAAAAATACTAAAAACTAGAACTTTTTCTCTGAAGAAATTTCATTGAAATCAATAATTCTGGGTTCGTAGAATAAAAGCCGTTGCGGGCATTCAAATATTGCGTCGCAATTAAGAAGGGAAAGAGCTTTTGTAATTTGTGACGATTCATGATGCAGCCGGGAGTTGTGATATCACACCATAATTGACGCAGATAATTTGAGGAAAAAAGCCTGTCAATTTTGGAACCTCAACGTTTTTATTTTAAGAATCCGGGATTTTTTATTTCACTACCAAAGTGCCTTGATTTGAGTGCATTGGGTATTGGATTTCAGTAAAAATTACTGAGGACTACAACTTTTTATCTGATTCTAAGAGAAATTTCAGTTCAATGGAGTATTTTGTTTATCGGGATTTCAGTACCCCGTGGTATTTTTCACCCAAGATGGTAGTATGTATCGCGGAGGGGCCCTTAGGGGGGTCCAAATCATCTACGCCCCATAAATCGGTACGAAAAAAATAGATAAAAAATATGGTGTAATAGTATATTTCTAACCTAGGGAGCAAAAATAAAGGAGTCATGCCCACGTACGGAAGCATGCGGCTAAGGGTCTTTTATTTACCTCGCATGGTTGGAACTCTATTTTTCGCCCCAGTGTAGGCACAAAATCAGAGTTCCCTCCCGCGAAGGGCAAAATGTATACTTCGCGCTCGTCGTGACGGAAAATTTTTTAACTCATCCCGTTGTTACCTTGTAATATTTTACAAGGTAACAACGGGATGAGTTAAAAAATTCAAGACCTATTGGTCTTGAGCTCTATAAAAAAAAATTATGAAAATAGTACTGACGATCATGAATTTTCCGCAGAGTATGAATTTTTATCGTTGAAATCTGAATTATTAAAAAATCAAGACTGAGAGAGTCACAAAATTCCATGTTATTCAAATGGAAAAAAGTTCGCCTTCACCATGCACTATTTTTATTTGCGTTAGGACACGAAATTTTGCTTCATTTGTTTTTTCGATCTTTTTGGAATCGACGTTTTAAGCGTGCATGATCCAGACCCCCCCCCCCCAAAGGGTCCCCTTGCCCTAATATGTAATGTTCCACATCTTGTGATGTCACAGGGTATTGGTGGATAGAGTTTTGGAGTAGATAGGAGAGAAACTAGGATCATTTTCAATATTACTTCACAAGAAAAACCTAAGTAAAAAATGAATAGCACTGAAATCTAGAGGCGATTACTGGAATTCAGAAACTTTTCTGTGTATGTGAATCTCCGTGATAAATGATTAATGCTGAGGGTAATCCTAGTTAGTTCATCCCTAACTATAAGAGACATCCCTAAAAACTCCAACTTTTCTTTCTCTGCGCGTCTTTGTCATTGAATCGCAATGATTCTACAAAATCAATTCATCTGCACGAGAATTATTCTGTAGTGTCTATGGGAGAATCTATCGATCCATAGCAACTGCTCCGATGTTTCAATCAGGCAGTGATATCCTAGGCTCACCGTGCTCGGATCCTCGAGTGGTTTATCAAGCTCCGCTTGTCGTAGAAATACATTTCCCCGGGATATTCTCCAGAGCATCCTCTCAAACGCCGGCACTCGTTCACGATTAATCACTCCAGCAACGAACCTGAAAAGAGTTTCAGTTTTTATTGATAATGGAGAATCAAAAAAGAAGAGCTCATGCCTCGTGGAAGATGGATATTATTCAATTAAAAATTGACATCGAATTAAGCGAGACCGCGGTGAAATCTCATTCTTTTGAAGAATGCAAACCGCAAAAAATCTCTCAATGTCTTTTGATATATGATGGGACATATTGAAAAGTGGGAAAAATGATAACTGTAATGGATTTTGCACCGTGAATCAACGAAAAACCACGTTTTTCCGTTTTACCTCTAGAATCGCTCAAGTGCCTCAGTTTTCATCTTTTTTTTCATAATGTCCGTTAGACTTTAACGAACAAGAGTGTGAAAAAATTGTCATAGAAAAATTGAAGATTTTTGTTTTTTTTCGTTTATTGCTTTCGCATTAATTTATCAATATTTCATTTTATAGCATATCAGTGATTTAATAAATAATTCTAGATAAATGAGAAAAAATCTATATTCGAAACTGTTTGCTCGGAAGATACATGCATCGCTACCAATTCCTCGGAGGAACTAACTCTAGAAACAAAAATCTCAGAGGTCTTATCTGAAGCTTTGGCGACATAGACCCATGAAAGCTTCTATTCACTCCAATTGTGTTCAGTGATAAAAACCAAACGCATAAACACCACGTCTCGCGCTTCTCAGAATTTCAAACGAGAAAAATGTTCTCTTAAATTGTCTCTCTATATTATAAAAATCCAAATCGATTTTTGGTGATAAAAATTTGGTACTCGAAATTAAGACTCCAAAATTAATGGTCACAAGGGTCAAAAAACGGGTCACGAGGGTCAGATAAAGGGTCATAATATGGTCATGGGGATCAAAAACCACGGATCAGAAAGTGAAGGACACCAGGGCCAAAATAAGGGTCGCGAGGGTTATTATGAAAATCAGATTAAGGATTCAAATAAGGGTGTTGAGTTCCAGAATAAAGATCACAAAGGTCGGAATAAGGGTCACGAGGGTCAGATTAAAGGTCACAAAGGTCAGAATATCTCTCTATATTATAAAAATCCGAATCGACTTCTGGTGATGAAAATGTGGTACTCGAAATTAAGACTCCAAAATTAATGGTCACAAGGGTCAAAAAACGGGTCACGGGGGTCAGAATAAGGGCCATGGGGGTCAAAACCAAAAGTGAGAAAGTAAAGGCAACCAAGGTTAAAATAAGGGTCGCGAGGGTTATTATGAAAATCAGATTAAGGATTCAAATAAGGGTGATGAGTTCCAGAATAAAGATCACGAAGGTCGGAATAAGGGTCACGAGGGTCAGATTAAAGGTCACAAAGGTCAGAATATCTCTCTATATTATAAAAATCCGAATCGACTTCTGGTGATGAAAATGTGGTACTCGAAAGTAAGACTCCAAGTTAAGGGTTGAAATCACAACGGACAAAATAAGGGTCCAAATAAGGGGCCTGGGGTTTATATGAGGCTATATGGGTGTTAGATGAGGGCCATTTTGGGGTTGGCGAGCGGAGCAAGCAGGGGGCGTAGCCCCCTAGTAAACATATACAAAAATATTAAATAAACTGTTATCCTCATGGAATGTAAACTCTAACACATTTATTTCCAATTTTCTCATGATCCGTCCAATGGACCGTAGAATGGATGCACATTCTTTGGGGATTGACGAACATTTAGAGAAACAAAATTGTCAATCCACTTGGAAGATTCTACAGGTAAAACGGAAAATATTGTTTTTCATTGATGCATGAGGAAAAATCGATTGGACTCGTCATTGTTCCGATTTTTCAACATATGCCGTCATATATCAAAATGCGCTCAATAAGTCCCTAACTCTAACGAGGACTTTGAAATTCCACCGCGGTCTCCCCTTAATGAAGATGAAGTGGAAGGTGGGTGATAACTCACTCGAGACGTCCACGACCTCCAGTTGGATACTGCTGCTCCTCGGTTATGAGTGCCCTGGTGATCGAGTCGTTGGCCTCCTCCTGTTGATAGAGAAACAGAAACGAGCCTTGATTCTTCGACTAAACGGTAATATCGATTACAAGACAGTGTTGGGTGAAATTGTTAATTCTGAGGGGGGCCACTTAGGTACCTCGGTGAAGAATACTTGGGTCTTCTCAAGAACATGACGCAGTTCCGTGAGTTCCAAATAGTTGCTCTTCAGATTTACGGCATTGTGGCTTAACTCTAGGATGTCGTTCTCGGTTTTCTCGATGTGTGCCTAAAGAATTTGATTGTTCTATTAGCACATTGTTATCGTAAGTGGTGGGAATTAATGGTACAAGTGCATAACGGAGATTCTACAATGAACTCAATGCAGGCTTCACGCCACGCAAAGCTTGCAATCGTCAAAAATAATCAAAAAACTGTTGAATGTTTGTTTTCATCAATTGTGCGTAAAGTGAGATTTTACGCACGCTCCGCGTGCGCAGAACCCTTCTTTCCATACATTGTGACGAAAAATGGGGTTCGGTACTAGTAGGAAAAGTGTCCTTTGAGTCTGGGAAGAGTAGCATTCGCCTTCGGCGAATCAAAAGTCAAAACAAAATGACGAAATGTACTATTGAATTCATCAGAGACACTAAGTGGAGACGCATCCTTCAACAGTTGATTAGCCATCCATTTAGTAACCACACTCAACGCTGATTAACTTTTTATCACTCTATTTGCCTATTTGTGGCTATATACTACTTCCGAAGAAGCAAAGTAAACAATCAATTTTTGGTACATTTCGTTCCTTTATGAGAAAAAAAATCAACAGCGATTCAATAAATTATTTATTCTAACAATAAGTGAAAAATGTGTACTGTTAGATAAAAATTGGAATTCCACGGACAGTCGACTGGTAATTTTCAGGAGAATGACATTGAATGCGATTTAAGGGACCGAAAATCATAAAATTTCAGATTTCACTGAAAATTCAATGGAATTTCAAATTTTTTAACAGCGTTGAGATGAGAATTCTTCACCCTATTTCAATTTTCAATAAAATCATGAATATTCTGTATCGAATGGCAAATACCATGATACATTTACCAGAATTTTCCTGACTTCTACTACTTTTCAGAGAATAATTCAACCGAAATTTACAGTTCTCATTGATTTTTCCATAAAATTCTGAATTTTCAATGACGAAATTCCTTGAAATTCCAGTGGAATTAGAATGTGATGAAAATTTGCGAAAATAGCACCGGAAATTTCAGCCAAAAATTTTCAACAGTGTGGAAGGATAGATGTTGTGATTAGCAGCCCACGTACGAAATGCCAGTGTTGGAGAAACGGGCCAAGCCTGGCACAAGCCTGGGCTTGCCAAGTCTGGGCGCCCAGGCTTGGACCGAGGTTCGGCCATCCCTGGGGACCAGGGCTTGAGTCTCGGGAGAAGGGCGGGTAACCGAGCCTTGGTTGACAGATCTGGCCCAGCCTTGGCCGGACATTGGCATGCCGGAGCTCGATAACCAAGCCTCAGCCAGCGGTGGCCCGGAGCTTGGTCATTGGGCTCCAGCCGTTGGTGTAACTGTAAGGGTTAAGTCGTAAGGGTGAGATGATGAGAATGGAATCATAGGGGTGGAATCATAAGGGTAAAATCTGAAGAGTAAAATTGTAAGGGTCAAATCGCAATAATGGAAAGGGGCGAAAAAATCATAAGACTGACATTCTGAGGGTTGAATGGTAAGGGTGGAAACTTGAGGGTAAAATATTAAGGGTGTAATCGTAAAAAAATGGTGACATTGTAGGTGTTGAAGTCACATGTTACTCGCTAATTATTACGAAAAGAAGAAGAATCGTCATTCAACATCAATCCTAATTGTTACAATTATTATTGTAATTAATAATAATAATTATTATTATTCATTATTGAATTAATTTACCGATTAAACTGTAGTTGAATCACTTAATATTTCTATCAACTGAATAATAAAACATTCAAGTCGAAAAAAACCGAGATGGAATTAATATGGAAGATTTGAAGTAGAGGTTTTACGAATTGCGCGGTAGACTAGTGGTTAGGGCGTCGGATTAGTAGTCGTGAGGTCGTGGGTTCGAGCCCACGTTAGGGGGTAATATTTTAAGTTAACAAAATCGGTTTTTCGGCGATGATTGCGTTAGGGTTTGGTAGGTAGGGCACAATCAATACTAAAAATCATCCTAAAAAATGTTAATTATTTTGTTTTTGTTATTATTGATAATTGCCATGAACAGTTTGGCAGCCAGTGCGGCACCAGTCGCATGCCGGTATTGATTTTTTTTCCTCGTTGAACCTATTACGAATGTTGAGGAGTAATATTAAATTACTTGTATTTCAATCACCCATATTATCATATTCATGTAATTAAGTAATGTTTAATTGAGCCTGGCCAACGACTGGCAATCAACGCTGGGCCGAGATGGGCGCCCAGACCTGGCCCGATGTTATCATTCCAGGTTTCAACCAAGTCCGGCGCGGTCCCGGTTGAGGAACGGGTCCCGAAGTTCGGCAGGCCGGCCACCGGGCTTGGGCCAAGCTCGGCCCATTCGTTTTTTCGTACGTGGGAGTGTCAGAACTTACTCATTACGTTCAGTTCGTTTCAAAAAAGAGAATCTTCATAAGAATAATGATCATGCTTCCCTATTTTTTTTTTTCAAAATATATTTTTGAATTCTAAATTTTAAAGGATTCCGTAAATTGGGTATGGATTCGGCTCGTTCTCATCGAATCAATTACGTATCAGATGGAAGTCGAGAGGAAAAACCTTTCTCTTTCATTTTTAACTTGGTCACCCATCCGCTTAACAACTACACTCAACGGTACTTAGGCTTCCACAGCTCTATTCGCCCAAGCTTAGCATTGCGCTCGCCTCAATGGATGAAATAATTCGTCAATGTTCAGTATACGTGGTATCTCAATTGACAAAAACTCAGTCAAAATTTCCAAGTGTTGGTTTCATCATCATTTCAAATAAATCCCTCGATTCCGCCAAACAAGTCATCTCCCTGCGTAATAAAAATTTATTTACCTCAAGATCGATAACTTCCCGGGGATTGGGTGCCCTAGGTAAGTCAGTGAGGTTGTCAAGTATCTGAACACCATCCTTCTTCACCTCTGCCTCTATGTAACGTAATTTCCTTTCCATTTCATCGCATCTTCTTACTTCGTTGACAAACTTCCGCTGGAAGTAATTCACATCGACGTTCAGCTGTGAACATTCCACATGCATGAATATAATATTATCAAACTTACTAGAACCAAAATGTTGAAATGTCGGGTTGAATGGACTCATAAAATGTCAACGATTTCAGGCAATAAAAACAAAAATGAAAAAGGGAAATTGATAAATTTCATACTCAAGTAGTGAACGAGATAATAATTAATCGACCCACTTACGTCTCGAAATTGGACTGTTCCGGTCTCACCGAGTTCTGAGACAGAGAGATAACCGGCCTCCGGCTGAATGAACAGCTGGCATAGTGCCATTTCCTCGCTCCTGAACATGCCCCCCATATTGATAAAGGCTTTATCTCTTTGCCTGGAAAAAAAGGAGCAAATTCAAAAAAAAGAAAATTCGACGGCTTGGACAATCACCAACCGTCCCACTACGTGATCACTCTCAGACTGGATTTCATTGTTAACAGGTACTTGTGTATTTCATGGTCTTTTATGTCTACTCAATTTTTCAGTCTCTTATCAATGATAAATGATTAATGATAATATAGGTTGTGTCGATAGCTGACTGGAACGCGCGTATACGTTCTATCTATTTTTCATTTTTACTTTTCGAATTATTATTGCACAGCTTCATTTGTAATTCCCTACATTTCTCGGTAACTGCGAATCACGAGGTCGTGATCCAGAGTGACATTGCAAGTGAGATATGAGGAAGTATTACGTCTGAATGGTGTTAAATTTGTAATGGGAGCGGAGCCTTCATGTGATGCGTCGTGATGAGAGTATTTTGTTTGATGTATGTGGATTATCTCGTGAGCCTTGTGTCGATTCGAGTGTTTTTGATTACTGCATCATTTCTTGTGATAAGAGCACACACATTGATTGTTATCATCGAAAATTTTATGACTTGACGAGTTTCTACGAATTATCTAATTTAAATGGATTGAAGCGTGGAATCGATTGTCATTCATACTGTGAAAATTGCGATTTTTTTATTGGATGTAGTAGGTTGTCCTTTTGTTTGGGTAATACGTATGGAATACTTGATATGCGATTCCCTGAAATGTGATATGGAATGATGCACAATGGTTTAATAGACGGAAATAATTTTCTACGCCAAGATCTTTTGTGTAGCGTCAAGGCTGAAGGCTCATGGCAAAGGATGATTTTTATCCTAGTATTGCGGATGACACAGCGGATTTCGATGATTGGTTGAGGGTTTAATTGTTTCATGCAATGTTAGAAATTTTTTGAAATTTCTTGGAGGATATTATAATAAATTTCATGAGAGTGACGCTGGATCTGATTTAGGGAAATAATGGTTATGAAATTTCAAGTTTGATGTAAAATTCACGGAAATTGATGGGTTTTCAGTGGAAGCGAGATGGAGTTTTCACAACTTGATTGAATTTTCAGTGGAACATGAATATTCAGAAACAAAATGACATGAACTTCCCTGATTTTTCTGAATTTTCATAGAATAACTGAACTGAAAAATCAAGTATTTTATCAAATGATCTGATTTCCAAATCATTTGAACAAAAAATCAATGGAATATTCTATTTTTCAATGACAAGATTTCTTGAAATTCCAGTGGAACTCGAACACGATAAAAATTTCCGGAATTTGAGACGGAAAATTTAGGCGAACATTTTTAACAGTGTGTCACTAGGATAGGGAGTGCGCTTTGCTAATTCGCGTTTTGGCTAGTAGTTTATGCATATTATTTACGATTGTTATGGACTCATTTATATTCACTAAAATGGGAGGTAATATTCGGTCTTATAGTGTTTAACCCTAGACTGAAAGTCCCGCCCTCTTATTTAGACTCCAGCGATGCCGAATTCACTCTACATCGCCCGGGCGCGTTTAGCGAGTTTCCGACAACGTCGTGTAACGGGCAATTTTATTTAATAGGGGACAAAATAATTCATCTGTTGAATAATTTGTTTTCTTTATGAATTTCTGGGATTATAGTAATCTAAAAACTACAACAATTTTTTAGACACTTCAATTGATAAAGTCAATTTTTTTCTATTTTTTCGGTTAGGCAGGCAATGGCAATTAACGAAAAACCGTCTGCTATGGCGTTTCTCTCATATGCTGATCTTAATCTCATATGGTGAATTGGAACCTTTTTCGGCAAACACATCAATTAAAATTTTTTGTTCACGATTTAAAAAAAAAAAAACAAGTTATTGTGCGTACAAGGATGAAAAAATGTTTAAAACGAAAAACGGCAATATTTTGAGCATTTATGTGAATGGGTATAGATATTTTGATCGATCTAGATGGAAGCTATCGAGACGCGTATTTTGAAAAAAGAAAAAATCAAATCCGTTGAGTAGTTTGTGAGATATTTAACCAAATATATTTACACACAAGGTTGCATATCTCAGGAACCACTTGGCCGATTGTACCCATCCAAAATATCTACTTTTAGTATTATAAAAGCTAGGATCACATCCAATTTCTACTTGCTACGTCAATTCTTTCTCGAGTTATCGTGCGTACAAGATTTTGCATGAAAAAAACGGAAAAATGGCAAACCTTACATCAAAGGGTATATATATTTTGATTGATCTAGATACAGGCCATCGAGATGGGTATTCTAAACAAAGAAAAATTGAAATCGGTGCAGTCGTTTTTGAGATATTGAGGGAAAACGAAATTTAAACAAGTTGTTATATCTCCGGAATTATCGAACCAATCGAGCTGAAAGAGCGCACCAAAGTTAAGCTGTGTCATAGCTATAGTGGGCTGAAATTTCCGATTTTTATCTATAACTTTCACCGTATTTATGTAGAATTTTCTAAAAATTAATCACCAAAATCCCAACCTGTTACATATGTACACGCAGGTATGAATCTAAAGACATCATTTTCACGTTTCATATAACATTGAGGACCATTTCCAATCAAAATTAGAAAATTGAAAAATCGGTTCAACGCAGGGCTTCCATTCGGAAGCAAAAAGAAGTATAATTTATTATTATCATTATTATTAGTTATTCATTTAAATAATAAATTCTGTTTTTTTTAGAATTGAGATAAAAAAGATCTCTAGGAAGAAATTTTTCAAGCTAAGATAAACGTGAAATATTTATAAGTCTAACATAAACTTGACAAAATATATTGTTGGCCGAAAATATTTCACCTCTTGTTTAATGGAGGATTGAAAGTGGAGAGATCCGATCAATTAGCCCCTCATGTATAGATATTCCAAATTTTTATTTTTTTCCTCATTGAAGTAGTTTTGAAGAAAATTGCGAGCTAATAAAAAACATTTGCTAGTTAGTACTTTTTTTTAAATAAATTTTTGAAAAATCACCTCTGAAAAAAAAGGCGTTATCCCCTCTATTTCATTATTTCCAAAAAAATTTATCACCAATCGATAGCAAATTGTTTGAAGATTTTTGCGAGTTAAGAAAAAATCGTCAATGCAATCCTATTATTGTGTAAATTAACAATTCCAATTTCAACTGAAAACCAAAGTTGATGACCAGAGTTTGTAACAGAGATGTCAGACAAGATATGAATGTTTTTTTTGGCTCAAATGAAAGAGCGGCTCGAAAAATGGCGTGCAGAAGTCTTTAAAGATGACAAATGTCTCTAAAGATGATGTCTGTTTTCAATTGAAGAGCGCAATTGTGACAAAATTGTCCAGTGGGGTCTAGAAGTCTCCCCTGGTTCAAAACCATCTTTGGAGGCCCTAGCACGCCATTTCTCGACCCGCTCTTTCGTTTGAGCCCAAAAAAACATTCACATCTTGTCTGACATCCCTGCTACATCTCTGGTCATCAACTCTGGTTTTCAGTTGAAATTGGAATTGTTAATTTACACAATAATAGGAGTGCATTGACGATTTTTTCTTAACTCGCAAAAATCTTCAAACAATTCGCTACCGATTGGTGATAAATTTTTTTGGAAATAATGAAATAGGGGGGATAACGCCTTTTTTTTCAGGGGTGATTTTTCAAAAAGTTATTTTAAAAAAAGTACTAACTAGCAAATGTTTTTTATTAGCTCGCAATTTTCTTCAAAACTACTTCAATGAGGAAAAAAATTAAAATTTGGAATATCTATACATGAGGGGCTAATTGATCGGATCTAAGTGGAGCGCGCATCGCGCGCGCCCTTATAAGGTGGTGGGTTATACATATTATTTATGATCGTTATGTATTTATTATTCGATTTTTAGGAAATACATTGCAGACTGTGTGATTTAAACTATTTTATGTTACGGGCTCGAAAATGAGGAACGGATCTAGTAACATTAATATTCTATTGGATTTCTTTTGCAATTCTATTAGAAATTGGATTCATTTCTCGCCGATTCAGCTGAAAATTTCAAATGTACAATAGAAAATATGTCGTAATATTTTGAAGAATCAATAGATTTTCCTCTGTCGACTTATTCGGTTGTAATTGTATAGAATGATTTGTGTTGGTGATTACAAATGTGTTGATCATCTTCTTCAATAAACCGAAAAAAATTGAAGGAATAGAACAGATTTTTTCAACTTTGTACTTACACTATTGAAAAATTGCCAAAATTTTATGGATAGTTAATTAACATTTTCCAGGAAAGTGACGTTGAATTCGATTCAAGGGATAAAAATCACGAAGTTTCAGATTTTATTGAAAATTCAATGTTATATTCACTTGCATTTTTCTGATTTCTATTAATTTTCATAAGGTAATTGAACTAAAATTACAGTTTGCATTGATTTTTCAGTAAAATTTGGACTTTTCAATTAAGAAATTCCTTAAAATTTCAATGAAACTATAATGTGATCAAAATTTACGAAAAGTGTACCGAGAATTTGGAATAAAATTTTTCCACAGTTAATAAAAATATCTTGATAATAAGTGGTTTTAGACAAAAAATCAAGAGGATTTTTTATTGGTATGTTCTCTAACCAGGAAATATGTCGTGGGAAATTCCCAATGTAACCTTCTTCCGAGATGAATTTACAATTAGCAGAAATGCATATATTCCAGGGTAATATCCAAGTTAATATTGCTATGTCATAACGAACTCATTGGCGTTCTATTTCACTCCAGAATTTCTAATCCTCAAAGACCAAAATACCTGTTATTCACTACTATCAGTGAATCGAAGTAAGAATAATCTTCTATTATTCCACTCCTTTGGCTGCCCTCGTGAATTGATAAGACAGCTTGAGCAAATACCGCAGCAATAAAGACTTTTCGTGATGTGTTAACAAGTCAGAAATGATAAAAAATGGAGCAAAACCCAGTGTTAGACAGAATATTCACCAATTCAGCCTTGATACGGAATCACTTTTTTTATCGATTACATCAAACAGGTTTGAATCAGCTTCTTAACATATTCTAT